GGCTAGCCAACCCCATATCTGATGACCTCCCTCCCCACCCCAGGCCAGATGGCAGAACCAGTTCTTCAAGTCCTTCTGCAAGGCCGGGAGTGAGGGGGCCTGTCTCACCTCCGGGGGCAAGATGTTCCAAAGGGCGGGGGTTACAGCAGAGAAGGCCTGCCTTCTGGACCCCACCAGAGTTCTTTTGCCGAGGGGGTCCGGAGCATGCCCTTTCTGTGTGATAAGGTGGAACAGGTTGAAATTGTGGGGGACATATACAGTATCTTTAAATATGGTATTTCCATTTAAACATCATAATTAGTAGCCATTACTAGCCACAACATCCAATAATTTGTCTGATCCCTTTTCAAAGATGTCTACCGTGTCCTGTGGCAGCAAATTTGTAAGCTGTTTTTCTTTATTGCATGCCTCATTTTTCTGATCTGAATGATCCCAAGATCTATGGTTATATCATAGGGGGAAACTGTTTCTTTATTAACGTCCACAAAGTGTTCTAAAACCTATCGTGTCTCCCCTTAGTATTTTTTATTTCTGTCGGTCAATGAACAGCCCTAGAAAGAGCATGGCAGGCCTCTTCACCAAAGGTGTTACCCCTCCCTGAACACCCCATTCATGTGATGTGAGTTCTGGACTCTACTGAAGGCATATCAAACAACTGGACAAATTTGACATGCATGCTCTCCCCTCCATCCTTGGCATTTGTTGGCAAGACCATGTCTCCAACCTGGAGGTCTTGGATCATGCAGAGTCCACCAGCATTGAGTCCCTGATTATCAGAGCCCAGATGCCGTGAGTGAGACACGTCAACAGAATGGATGACCACCATATGCCTCGCCAGTTGCTCTATAGTGTACTGGAATCTGGGAAGACACCTTGAGGTCGACTATGCAAGCGCTACAAAGACGCTGTGAAAGACGCTGTGAAAGAAACCCTTTACCCTTTATCCAGCCAAGGGAAGTAGAAGCTGCAGTTGCTAATAGAACACACTGGCGAGCCTGTGCTATGAGGCATCCACTGGCTTTGAAGACAGGCGCTGCCAAAAACTGATAGAAAGCTGAGTGGCATCACAGAATAACACCCACAGTTATCAAAACAATGGACTTCCAATGCCCCCATGGTACTAGACTCTACACTTCCAGACTGAGACTGTACTGCTACCTCTGTGTCCACAGATAAACTGCACAACAGCGTGTCTTCTTCGAAGCCAAAGGACTACCATATATCACGAGGAATGCGCTCCAATTTCTATCTTATTTTGGTTGCATTTTCTGCAACTTTCCCTCTGTAGCATTCTTTATGGAAATGGAAGTGGTCAGAACACAACAAAGTATTTCATGCATTTCATATCTATGAAAAAGTATTACAACAATGGAAATTCTAATCTGCAAGTCATGTTTAGTAGCCATTATTATAAAATTGAATTATTACTTTGCTACCATACACAGCGGTAAAATCTATTTTTTTGCCTTTATTTAATAAAACAGAACAAAGGGGAAAAAAACCATAGTAAAAGAAAAAACAAAGGAAAAAAATAAAAGCAATACACCAACTTGGTGGTAAATCTAGTTGTGATTCACAATCATGGATGAGCCAAATGAACTCAAACAATGAGCTCATGATGATTCTTACAAGACTGATCAGGAGCATATCAGGAAAGAAAAATGGCCATTCTAAATCAAACTCATCATTTTAATAAGTGAAAGGGAAGTTATAGGAAGGCAACTGAGACTCGGTTCTATCTTTTACTCAGCTGTAACTGCCTGGGGTCAAGGATCAGGGGTATATAAACCATACCTTCATACAGGCAAATTCCTTCGTTGCAGCAAGACGTGAGAGGTAGAGCCATGACATCTTGTGTCTGTGTTTATGGTAATCACGCTTGTTTTTCAAGTTCCGAAAGGATGTCCTTCCAAGCCTATGCAATTTTAACGCAAGCTGCTCTTCCTTTTCATTTGCAACAGTGTAAATATCTTTAAAACAAAATTTCATTCATACAGCTTTAGATCCTATTCTTACCTATTAAAGAGATTTTAGAATGATGACAATATGTATATGAGTTATATGACACAAATAATATTATCGATCCAGTCAGGCGTTGAAATGAATTGGAGACAGATTATCACTAAACAGATAGGTCCTACAGTCAGCATTTGGAGGGAATTTACCAACAAAAGTTATTAGAATAATTTTCCCACTCTCTTCCTGCCCATTAAACTAATGTTTAAAAATACCTGATTCTTTTCCAACACCCATTTGGTTCCCAACAGAACAGATAACTTCTCGAGAAGTCAGTGTTTTCAAGGCAAGGTAATCATATCCTCCATTAGTTAATCGATAACCTTGGACAGCTGAAAAATTAAAATAAATGTCACAAAAGTGTGCATATGCTAATAACTCACAACTTGATTATCCTTCTGAATGAAGATTTTACCCTGCATTTATATTGGACTATAGTTTCTAACACCTCTAACCATCCAGTTGTTTCTGCTTGACAGAACCTGGAAGGGTCCCACCTATAAGACAGTCATCCTGTGGAACCCCGGAAGCATGTATTCTCTGTAGCTGGGCTTACCCTGTGGAACAGGGTCCCCTCAGAGGTTGATATGACTCCTTTTGTACACTTGTGAAAAGTTGGCTTTTCCAGCAGACCTAGGGATTTGCTGCTTGGTAGTTATTTTGTTTGTTGTAATAGTTTGAGTTGGTCATCCTCCCTGGTGTATAGTATATTATGTCAGTTTCTTGCTATTTTTATTAGTTCTATGGTAATTTCTATTACTTCTAACCCTAATCTGTAAACTGCCTAGCATTACCTGAGTCACTGAGATGATAAGTTTATTTGATACTTTGTATGCCAACAATGATGTTGATTATGGAGTCCTCAGTGCTCTTTGAGCTTGGTTGTTACAACCACCTTGGATGTTGACTATGTTGGGCACTGTAGCTCAATGCAACTGGAGGACATAAAGTTGGGAAAAGCCATTTTAAATCATTGAAAGGATTCAAAGTAGCTTATCTCAGAACAACCTCTTATAACTGTTTATTCAATCCTAAAGAAACCTTATATAAGCACTGTACCTAAGTGAAAAGGGGACTGAATATGTTTGAGATGATGACAAATGCTCTGTTTTCTCTAATTTGTATCATTTGAAATATAGCAGTAAAGGTGCATTACTAATACAATCATTAACCTTTTGTTGGCAGGTGAGCATGTGCACAGACATACAACAACATTTATACTTACTTTTAGTTCGTTCATAAGCTACAAGCCTGTGTTTTGTTAATTCTTTCAGAATTTTGTTACAACCCCCATGTTTAAGACTGGCAATGGAGGCAATCAAACTAGGAGGGACTATTTCATGATTCTTCATGCCCATTTCTACCTATAATAACAAAAAGAAATAATAATAAATCAAAACCCCATTTTGATAAGCCTGACTTCTGGCATCTTGCCTACTCTTTGTGAATCATGCATTTCCTTTAACATTGATAATCTGACAAAAAATAATAAGACTGTTTAGTCGTGAAATGGTATTCTCAAGGCAAATGAATAATAGAACAAATTTTTGGCAGGCCTTAATTCCAGTCCAGATTATCCCAACTCAGTGTCTTCGGAATGCATACAGTCCACACCAACTAATTAGGTTAATTGGAGAAAATAAAAGTCATAGACTGCACGATAGTGAGGAAGACTGGGTTAAAGTTTAATAGCATGTGGCTAAGATTGTAAAAGAAGGGCAAACTGCACTAGAAGGACTCAGAGAACAACGCCAGTATTTTTCTTCCCTTGGCATTTTAGTATTTGGGGAACTCTGCTTTCGGTCATCTCCCAACTGTTACTTTTCAAAGACAGATTTAAGATAAGTCAACATAATCTTACCTACTTTTTTAAAACAAGGGCAGCACATCTTTAAACAGATGTGGAACCCCCAGATATTCTTGAACTCCCAACAATTCCAGCCAGCATGCCCAATATGAAGGATTCTGGAAGTTTAAGAACATCTGGAGGATCATACGCCCCATTCCTGTCCCACCACTTTTACAAGCAGCCATCCTAAATCTCTTTCAGAAGGAGACACGTGGCCCGTCCCGACCAATTCAGATCTCAAACCGCCGCTCGATTATATAAATTGAATCCGCCAACCAAGCCTTACCGCAGTGAGGACCCTAAAGTGATCCCGGGAAAGGTATCGGAGTAAAACTACGTTCAATTTTCCCATGGCGCCGTCCAGATACTCCCCGACAGCACAACGTGAAGCGCCAGCTGAATTTCGCCCAACACGCAAGTCTCGTCTCGTTATTTGGGATACGCATGCGCGCTCCTCTTCCTGTCCGTCGAATGCGCGCGCACAGAAATGCACACGCCTCCTCTCCGCGTTGGGTCCTTTTCAGAGACGGTTATTCGTTTCAGATCCTAACAGCTATGTATATGTGCCCGTAGGGTCGTCCCCAGTATTTGTGCCAAGACAACATAACCCCCGGGTCATAATGCGAAGAATTATAATATTTGCACGGAACTGTTTACATCTCGCTAGCAAATCTTTTGGCTTCTTCAGATGTGCAGGTTCTGTCGCAAGTATCTGGCAGGGTCAGTTGCTGGGGAAACGCGTCGCGCGAGAGGAAGCAGTCGAAACAAGGCTCGCCCCCTGAAGCTCCCTTGAGCATCATGAACAGCCGAAGTGACCGGCCCGTTCCTTTGCCTCGGACAGCTGCTAAGGTAACGACCGCAGGGAGATGGTGGTTTCCCCCCCGCCCCAACCAGGTGATGTGGCGGTAGATGATCGACTAGATTCAGATGGAACTTGCATCAGTCGCTGTGGCACCCTCCCTCCATCTGCCGTCCCCACTTCCATCAGCTCGTATGAACTGTGCTCGGAGAGAAAAATTGTTAGGTTTGGGCTTCAGGGAGAATTCAAGCCGAGCAGTGTTTTTCAGGACTTAAAACATTGAAATCTGGAAAAAGGCATTTGAGCCAATGGATAGGGCTGGTTCCCTTTCAGCCCTTCTTGCTAATCGTTGGAAAAGCGAAGTAAGAAGAGAGAAGAGAGTTTCTGGGGATGTGCAGAGAACTGATTTTCACTACCTCTTGGCCATCTACGGGCCCTCTTTTCTCCTAGCCTAAGTGAGAATAGACTTTTCCTATTTGATTCCCTCCAGATATACTGCATGATGCTTCAGTTCCCATGAGTCCCATCTCCTGCAGTTTTCAGCTGTGCTTTTGGGGAATTCCAGGGCATCCGAAGGCCATCAGGTTAAGCAGTGTATATTAAGGTGATAAGGTTCTCTAGATCAATTGAAGTGCCTTTCAAGCATGGGCTTTCCCTAGAGGCAGGTGGGAGGATCAAATGACATAGACACTTATGTGACTATTTACACTGGGACCCAAGGACATAAGAATGGCATTTCTGTTACGACTCTGAGCATATCATCATAATCCATCATTGTGGTTTGGTGCAGGTCCTATTGCTTTCAGTAGGGATGTAAAACACTGCCACAGTGTCTTCGGTGACAGGCTTATAGTCCACCTTTATTGTACTCCAAGAGACGCTTTTGATTGGCATGGGTTACAGATATTGTAAAATAAATAAATAAATATTCTGTTTGGTGCAAGGGATTCAGATCCATATCTAACATATTAGCTGCCTTGCCTGTTGCTGAAGATCTTCAGATTTTTATGTGTGTGTGTATGAATAATATCAGGATATACACACACACACAC